AATAATAATAACAATGCAGTAGAATAGAGCCATTCTGGACAGTGATCCTATAGGTGTGGCCCTGGCTCAGCTTCATCACATCTTGGGAACACGCAAAGAGCTTGAAACCCTCATAGCCCAGGTCCCATCTCATATGGACCACATCAAAACATCTTGGGGTAGGGCCCTCAAGAATGTTTGAAAGCTCATTCAATGACTCCAACAAGTAGGCAAGGTTGAGGCCCTCTACCATAGCATGCTGATTCTCAACTACTACCCTACAAAACCACTTGGGAAGACCTTTGAAGGAAGGATCCTGGGAGCTATCCCCAGGCCAACTGCAACTGCCTCTGGGAAGGCGAGGGACTGGCACCAGATCACTTTATATAAACCTCCAGGAAATTCTAATGTGCACACAGAGCCACAGTTCTGCAGGACTCAACTGCTGAAGGAAATGAATGACTTTAAGACAAACAACAGTCTCCTGACTAGAAGGAGGCAATCACTGATTTAGAGCCCTTACAGGTAGGAATTAAGTGATGGTGGTGTCTATTTTTGTCCTTAGATCTTTTTTTTTTTTTTTAAAAAAAAAAAAAGTTTACAAGAGAAAATAGAGACCTCTAACAGATTAGCAAACCATTGTCATTCAGTACATGGGTCAGCCAGGACAGCTGAGCTCATGGGCAAAGCAAATTCAAATCGGCACTTGCTATCAACAAAGACCCCAAATTCCCAGAAATTGGAGGCCCAAATATGGGCCCCAGGACAACTGCTTGAAGCCAATCAACCATCAGAATTGTACAGGAGGGATGCTGAACAGTTAATGTCATCTGAGAGCATCTTGTCTTTTAATGCTTAGAAGTTGTCAATATACTATGCTGTGAAATAGTCACAGAAAGATAAATGTATAACTCCATTTACATGAGGGCCCTAGAGCAGTCAAATCCATAGAGAAAAGAGTAGGCTGTGATTGGGGTCAGGGAGGGGAAGTTTATTGTCATTTAACCATTAAAGTTTTCATTTTGCAAGCTGAGAAGAGTTCTGGAGGCTGGTTGCAAATGTAAATATTTAGATTGTTCGTTTTAAGTTCATTTTTGTTGTTATTTGAAACAAGGTGTCCACAGGCCAAGTTAGCCTTGAGCTTACTATGTACTTCAGACTAGACTCAAAGTCATGGTCATCCTGCATGACTCTGAGGGCTGGGATTATAGGAGCCAGGATTAGAGGCACCCAGTCATGAATATGCCCAATGCTACTGTGTGACTCCGTGTCAATGCTGGGGGTACAAAGATGAGTTTGATTTCAGGCCTTTTCCTGGAGAAAGGACAGACCCTCCACTAAGGGTACAGGGACACTTAGCTATGTGCTCTGAGGACATCCTAATGGAAGTCAGTGCTGTCAGTGCTAGGTGCCACAGAAACACAGAGGGAAGAATGCATGACTCCAGTCCAGAGGGGAGGTAGCAGGAGCTATAATGTGACATTATTTGCAAAAGTGACCAGATAAGAAGAGGGGAAAGAGGGGCAGAGCAGTGAGACCATTCCACACACTTGGATCGCTTCCACAAACACAGAGGGCCAATAGAAGCAGGACACATGGAGGCAGGAGGGCCTCTGGGAAACAGAAAGAGCCTGCTTGAGACATGGCCTGCTTGACTTGATTTAAAAACTTTGTGGTACAGGTAGGCAATGGGCCCCAAGATGTTTTAAGATGGTAATTCTCAAAATACAGAAGGATCCCTCAGAAGAGCCTGAGTTAGGGCAGTGGCAGAGGCAGGTAGAGGGGAGGGAATGAACTTGGAATTGGTCAGATTTAGGGAACTAATAAACAAAGAAAGTGAAGAAGGAAGAGGTCTGGGCAGAGAGAACCTGGGTTCCCCAAGTGTCTAGTCAGTGCTGGTACTGTGCTCGGCATTGTGCTGTTTTTCTTAATCCGCCAAGCATGACCACCTGGGGTTCTGGTCTTGGTTTTCAGGTGATGAATCAGAGGCTCCAGGGGCTTCAGGAGCACCCCAGGTTTACTCTTCTACTAAGCAGTGGAGGACACTCTTAGTCCAGACTGTTCTTTCACCTACATCAGTGGAAGACAGGCTGAGGTCTGAGATGTGATGCAGAGGCAGATGCTCGGAAGGCCCCAGTGGGCATTTCTGGCACTGCTGGGGAGGCCTGGCGTACAGGTGAAGATAGCAGGAATTGGAGGCTGCAAAGAGATGAGGTTCCAGCAGGAGTGCTTCTATTAACAAAGAGCGTCCTGAGGAAGCTTCCCTGAAGATGAATCATGGAGGAGGAGGTGCATTCAGGGAAGCAGGAGCCATGTCAGGGGAGAAATGCAGGAGGACAGAACATCAAGACCAGAGGCCAACCTTGGCAAATATTGCATGGCTGTCAAGGATGAGACCTGAGGAATCGCCCCTTCTTTGGTAATGGCTATGCTGCCAACCTTCAGAATACAGATCCTCCTCCTCCTCCCCTCCCCCTCCCCTCCCCTTCCTCCTCCTCCTCCCCTCCCCTTCCTCCTCCTCCTCCTCCTCCTCCTCCTCCTCCTCCTCTCCAGGAACCTGGACTTAAGAGCGCTCCACACAGTGAGCTCCTGGGTATATCTGAGAGATGCTTCATTTAACATCTACACACACCTGATGTGTAAGTACCAGGAGGGCAGGGACTATGCCTCATTCCTCATCCCCTAGTTCTAGCACAGTGCCTGACAAAATGAGATGGTGAATGACCAGCAGAAGCCAGCACTCTGCTCTCCCTCAGTCACCCAGAAGCACTGCTGCTGCACTTCATCCCAGACTCAGCAAAATCAGGGGCCATTCCATGCCTCTCAGCTGTCTGGGCAGAGCTGCAGCATCACTGGATAGCTCCAGAGACTGGCCTGACCTTCAGCCCCCTTCTTTTCTGCTTGTCTAAGCACTGAATGGTGTGCTCACTTTTGCTGCCTTTCAAGCCTGGAACAGGGCATTTAGCACAGAGGAGGACACAATAGCAGTGTGGTTCACGGGGAATCAATGTCTCTTAAATTAGAATTTAACTGCACTGTGTATAGGGAGAGAGGCAGAGGGTTCTCAGAATCAATGTCCAGGTTCCTTTGAGCCTTTGGGAAAAAATATTACCCATACTGGCTGCAGAAGAAAGCACGTGGTCAGAAAGTCAGGACACAGGGTGAGTCTGAGTTGAGTCTCTAGCGGGCCATGCTAGTCACTCAGGACAAGGCACTCATGTTATCACTTAATTTGAAACCCTTTCAGGAATTTCTCCTCACCTTAAAAAAAGGTGGAGATGGCCTCAGTTCCCCTCCCACATCACAGTACACCAAGCTTCAGAACTGCTGTAGGGGTGAAGGGCTGGAGAGACACACCCACAAGTCTTCTGGACCCCAGGTTTGGTGTATAGGCTGTGTAATTCTGCAGAGTTGGGCCAGTGCCCTCCACTGGAGGCCTCTCATGTACCATAGTAGCCTCCTTACCTGATGGTGGTCTTGTAGTGATAATGGAACACCATGATGATGGGGAAAGTGATCAGTGTAAGGCCTGCCACAGGAGGAAAGTACAATAAAGCATCTATTTTAATGGCTTAGATCCATACATCATAAATGCCCCCCAAAAATAAATATTGTAGAGACCCTACAGATCTTTGCTAACTTCTAATCATAGAGACAAGGAAACTGAGACCCTGAGGAACAGGAAAGGCCTGCCCTAAACCTCACAGGCAGAAGTGCCTGTACATGAGTCACGTGGGTGCCTTACTCCCTCCTGCATGGGCATGGGATGGATCTGGATGTGCCATTCCCAGTTCCTGTGAGATCCCTGGCTAGGGCAGGTTCCAACCCCAGCACCCTCAGCTAGGGAAACTCTGATGTCTGACCCACCAGGCTCCTGTCCACCTGAACCATGCCTATTACCCCAAGTTAAGGGCTTTCCCTAGAAGGCACTCAGCTGAACCCTGATCCTGATGACACAAGTGAGATGAAACTGTCTTAATGAACCCTCTAGTTCTGACATTCCGTGGTTTCAAGAACTGGCTTTAATTAGCCATGAACATTGGCTGGAAATCTCAGGTTAACATGGATCTTTCCAGAACTCCGTCCTTAGGAGAGATAGCCAGAGGCCAAGAAAGTTGTAAGCACCCCTGTCCTGTATTGTGGCTCCTGGTTTACTGTTGTGCTGCCCTCTGTGCTTCAGAGGCTGCTCTGCTACTTTACAGTCCTACAGACCAAGGCTCTGGCTCTGAGTGGAGGGCCCCGACTCAGTCCCAGAGCTCAGAAAAGGTGAAAAGCAGCATCCAGTTCCAGGCACCTGGAAGCAACAAACAGCCCAGAGAAGGCAGGCTCAGGAAAGAGCCAGAGGAAGGGGCCTGAGTGGGTCAGGAGTCTGAAGTCCAGCTCTCTTCTCTGTCTCTCATGGCTTTGCCTGCAAAGTAAGGTGGGCAGGGGGAGACGTTCCTTGTTTTCTCACAGCTCCTCCTCAGAGCATGCATGGCATATGTGGCAGCGGTGTGGGTATGATCTCTCTACTCATGTGAAGAAGAGAGAAATAGTGCGTCTCTCAGGAGTCTTCCCCAGCCCAACTACAGACCAGAGCTGAACAGACTTTCTAGAAATTCCTAAGGAAGGGAGGGAAGAAAGGAAGAAGAGAAGGAAAGGATAGATAGAGGAAGGGAATGAGGAAGGAGAGCAGGCTGGAGTCTTAGTCACACAGTCCACAATCCCACAAGGCAATTCACTAACAGATCATTAGGCATGTCACATTTAGGATGCAAACACATGGCAAGAAGCAATTGGAAAGAATTTCAGATTTGAGGGGCTGGAGCAATGGTTCAACAGTTAAGAGCACTTGTTGCTCTTCCAGAGGACCTGAGTTTAGTTCTCAGCTCCCACATTGTGGTCAACTACCATCCATAACTCCAGTTCCAGGGGATCCAAAGCTCTCTTCTGGCCTTTGCAGGCATTGCTCACACAGGTGCACTTACATGCTTGTAAAAGCACTCACACACAAAAAATAAAAATAAAATCTTAAAAAGAATTTCAGATTTGAAATGATACATGAACCTCTTGGCCTAGGCAAAGGTGACTTCCCAAAACCCAGGCCTGGTAAGTCTCTGTGTCTGAAGGCACCAGGCATGTGCCCTGGGTGTGCCAACTTCATAGAAATCTCAGGGATACTGACATCATAGATATTGCCCCCAGATAGCTGCTATCTACTAGGCTCACGTGACAAAGTGCTTTCCAGCTGATGATTTCTATTCAGGAACACAATTTAGCAGGAGTATTCAGGGACATAAAGAGGAGATCTTTATAAATAACTCCTGATTAAAATAGATCTAAAAATAGGAGTCAGAGGAGGAAGCAAATTGCTAAGCACTTATCAAGTCGATAACATTGGCTTGGCTATCTTAGTGCAAATGGCTGGTCTGGTTTATTTCCTTCTTGCCAAAGGTCAAATGCAGGATGGAACCTAGAGGCACCAAGGCTGTGTGTGAACAAGGACTATTAGAGCATGGCTCTCAGCTCCTGGAGTCAGGGAGATGCTAACACAGGCCTTGATAAGATCTCCCTGAAGCACTTTGAGCTCAACCAAGTGTGACCATGACATTGGGCCACTGTTTCTTCACTGGAAGGGTTGGCCTGTCAGTTCTGAGATTCTAGACAGTAATTCATGGCTGAGTTCCTAGTATGAAACTTGGACAGTCAGAGGTCTGAATGAAACCTGGACTGTGCTCAGCTCCTGTCAAGTGAATGTCTCACCCCCTAGTTTATTCTCCACAGGGCCTGCCTTAGCTTCAAGGAGGCCACTACAGTTTGTGCTCTCTGGGAAGTGGAAACTGAGTGGAAATGTGCTTATGAGGTCCCCAGCAGTGAGTTTCTTGGATAGATGGAGGCACAGGATGGAGGCTCAGCAGACTTAATGACAGAGCTGACTCTGCTTGGGCAGAGTGCCTAACCGTGCCTCTGCGTCAGGACCCAAAGACAAAGCTGAAATCCTGAGGCCAGTAGCCTGGGACCCTGAAGGGAGGTGAAGGGGAGAGGAAGCTGTCTACCACAGCTGGCCTGCTGAGTCAGCAGCAGTTGCAGGGGCCCGTGTGCACACGGAGGATGCCGCGGCTGTGCAGGTGCAGGAAGGTGAAGATCTCCGAGGGCATGGCGTGGAAGCCCGGCCGGGGCTTAATGTTGTCGTAGTAGTGGTGCGTGATGTAAAAGCCCGAGGGGTTCATGGGGAAGGCCCAGAAGCCGAACAGGTGCACCTCCTCACAGAGCTCCAGTGCCGCAGTGGCCAGGATGAGCCCGGTACTGATGCGCTTGGCGCGTACACCTAAGCTGAGCCAGTAGCGCGACACGTTGGCCAGGTACTGTGGATGGAAGTAGTAGACTGCCTGCGTCGACTCGAAGTCATCCACCACGTACTTGACGCGGATGGACATGTCGGTGTTATGTACGTTGTAGAAGGCAGGCAGCAGCACAGACGCATTCTCATAAACCTGCAGCACACGGTAGAATGGCCGGCGCCACTTCTCTAGCTTGTGGAACCTGCAGGGAGGCAGAGTGAGCAGCGCCTTCCCTCTGGTCCTCTCACAGCCCCCTCCCTCTGCACCCTGGGGTGGGGGTTCACCAGTCTGCCACGCCTCAACAGGAATACAGCCTTCCCTTCTTTTTCTTTTTAATTTTATTTATGTATTTATTTAGCGGGGGAGGGGATGCCTGTGAACAAGTGTAGGTCATAGGACAACCTCGGAGAGTCAGTTTTCTCCTTCCACCATGTGGGCCAGGGATCAAACTCAGGTGGTCAGGCTTGGTGGCAAGTGCCTTCACCCACTGAGCCATCTCATGGGCCCTGGGATTATGGTCTTTCTCCAGACTGTTACATATTTGTAAGTGGATGCAGGAGAAGATGATCTGGGCTGGATAACTAGTGTGTGGCTATGGGGAGATGTTCACACTTAACCACAGAGGATAAGGGTGGCCATGGGTGGTGAGAACAGCTGAACAGTGGAGGCTTTCTCTAGGGCCCTCACATCAATCTCCCCTGCCCTGTTTTCCCTAAATATCCAGTAAGGGTACAGCTCAGTGTGTGGCCTGACATCTTGGCCTCTGCATCTTTTCCCTACAGTGACCAGCCTAACCATCATTGAGGTTTCAACACACTAGTTCCCACAGACCTCCAAGGCATACCCCTGGAGGGGAGCCAGATAGGAGCTGAGATCTTTGCATCAGCACCCCCTCCCCATACCTGGACACTGCCAGGTAGGGTGCTGCTTGCTCCATCACACATGAAGGGTTTCTGACCATGCCTAGGTAAGAGCTGTCCAGACCTGCATTGTCCAGGAGAAACATAACACAGGCCCCATGAGTGGTTTCAATGTCGTGGTAAATGTGTTTTAAAAGTAACAAGAAATGGGGGGAAATTGTTGATAATTTTTACATTTTATTTAACCACATATACCAAAAAATACTATCATTTCAACATTCTATCAATATAAAAACTAATGGGACACACTAAACTCCTTTGTTTGTATTAAGTCTTTGACACTCAGTGAAAGCTTCATGCAGACAGCTGGCACATCTCAAATTGGGCCCAGACATATTTCCGATGCCCAGTGGCTTCAGGATACTGTTGCCCATCCAAAGACAACACAGTTCTAGAAACAGGACCACTGACCTTTCAAAGATGATGCTGGGGTTCACAGTGACCACGTCTGTCTTCATCCCCACATCCATGGTATATTCCTCTGAGATGGGGGGCAGGTTGCACCTGCAGAAGACACAGGGCAGTCGGACACAGGTAGTCAGTCACCTGCCAGTGGTTGGGAGGGGGTAAGGGGAAGGTAGGGATGTGATTACGTGGCAGAGGGACACAGGGGCCACCAGCTGTACAGGACTTCTGTGTCTGGCTAAGACAGAGGTCTTTCTACTCTGTGTTAGGAATAGGCAAGCAAAAAGGTCTCACAGAAGTCCCTGGTCTCACTGAAGTTCCAGTCAGGGGGGCAGAGAAACCATCATTGGAAACATGCAGTTACATGTTTTGGTGGTGGTCATCCCTGGGCCTCTGGAAGGTTGTGGCACTAAGCAGACAGATAGATGCAGAGCATCCCCTTGCCTGAGGACTCAAGACTTCTCGGAGTCCTCAGCTTAAACTGAGGGCAGAAATGAGCGAAAGTCAGCTGTCAGGGGAAGGATCAAATAGACATGGAATATTCAAAGATGAGCCTTGGAAATGCAATACCAAGGCAGAAACCAAGTCACAGAAATAAGCACAGAGTACAACCTCAAGAAGGCACCTGAGGTAGGGACGAGTAGTGGCACCAAGATCATGGAATCCTAACCCCTGGAATCCATGATACAAAACCAGAAGATGCTGAAGCACTGGCATGTAAGGAATGCAGGCAGTGTATAAAACTGAAAATGGAACTGGAGTCTCCCCTAGAGCATCCACAAGGAACAAGACCCTGATGGCCCCTTAACTGTAGCCCACTGGGCCTTCTGACTTCCAGAGCACTGAGACCATAAACCTTGTGTCTTTCAGGCCACTGACTTTTTGGTACTTTGTCAGAGCAGCAGGAAGAAACTCCTATAGTCCCAAACAAGCCAACTGGAACAATAAAGTCTCTATAGTTACATCTACGAGTTAAAGTAACTCTAACAATGCAGGAATGGTGAGTCCAAACTTCAAGGTACTAATCACCTTTAAGGGGAAACAGGTAGAATGGGGGCAGGGCACACAAGTTGATCTAATAATGCAATACAAGTATTCAACTTCCTAATATTGGTTTACAGAGAATTCTTTTATTGTTTTGCTTCATATTTATGGATGTTAGGAATATTCTTCCATCACATACTATAAATGAATGAATTTTGAAAAGGAGTAGATACTAATTTTGTGAATGTAGAGGTCTTGAGCAGTTCAGACAGGGTCTTTTGCAAAGGCCCTGGGACAAAGGAGAGCAGGGAGTATCCATAAATGTCAGGAAGAAAAACTCACTCTCCCCGCTCTCTATCCCTCCCCCCTCCCTCTCTCTCTCCTTTTCTCTCCCTCTCTCTCCCTCTCCTGAGGATTGAATACAGGGCTTCATGCATGCTAAGCAAGTGCTCTACCCCTGACCTGCATTCTCAGCTTCTGTTTTTTTTTTTAATTTTTAGTTATCTTTATTTTATGTGTATGAGTGTACTGTCTGCATGTATGTGAGTAAGGATGGTTCGTAGCCGCCATGTGGGTGCTGGGAATCGAACCCGGGTCCTCTGCAAGAGCTGTCAGTGCTCTTAACCACTGAGCCATCTCTCCAGCCCCAACTGTTACTATTTTTTATACTGAGACAGGCTCCTGCTAACTTTACAGGCTGGCTTTGAACTCGCTATGTACCCTTAGAAGCTCTGACCTTGCAATCCTACTGCCTCAGCCTCCTAAGTAGCTAGGATTACAGGCTTGTACCACCAAGCCTGATCTGTATCCCCATTCCTATGACTAGCCACATGCTCCTGGCATAAAATACTACCCTCCCCAAAAACTGCTTTCATCTGTAAAATGAGAGAATATTAAAAGGCAGCATTTTTTATTTTTAACTTAACAGAACTTAATGTGTATTCCACATTGCTTGAGGGTTTTACTAACATTAACTCATATAATTCCACAATCACAGGGGTGGATGATATACACACTATATATTTCAGTAGGTATGGGAAGAATGGTTGGGTCACTCATACAAGATGACCCAGCCCTTCATCAAGCAAGCACAGGCTCCCTAGCCTCAGAGTCCATGGATCTAACCACTGCACCATCCATTGATGCACTCTTCCATTTATTCCTTCATCCCTTCTATTCAGAATCATTTACTATACAATTATGAGGTCTGAGGCACTCATAAGAGTCCCCATATGATTCCAGTTCCCACTGGACAACCAGTGAGATAACCCAGTCAAACCTGGCCACAGGTTTCAAATGTCACATGAGCCCAGCATCAAGTTCTATGGGATTCTAGGTACTGATCGAAGTGGCAAACCTTGAGCTGAGCTTAGGGCAATGGTAAATGGTGGAAGCTTGGGGTATGATGGAGGACATTCCAGGCAGAGGACAGGACCCAGAATTATCAGTAGCTGAAATTGGCCAGTAACGTGTGTCCAGTGCAAAAGGCACTAAGCTACACAAGTACTATCTCATTAAATTCCAATCTCTGGGAAGCTGCTGTCACTAAAGCCCCTCCTGCAAGTGAGAAAGCAAGGCCCAGTCACTGCCTGGATGGAATTTTGGGTAGATGGTTGAAATCTGGGCAGCTCCTGTACAACAGGTCAGGGGTGTAGCTTGGTTGAGGATTCAGTAAGAGCTAAGGGGTTCGGGGTCTCTTCCCTCTACTCTGGACCCATCAAGAGTCCACAGGGATCACAAGAGTGCCATGGATGGCAAAGGGAGGCACTAGTTACACGTGCTACCCACAGCAATGATGCTCCCTCCAAGCCAGGAACAAAAGTGCCCTTGGCTTCTCTCTAGGGACAGGAGGCTGGGGCTGCACTGTTCCAAAATGTGCAAGTGCCACTTTCAGGGCAGGACATCTAGCCTTCCCTCCCTGCCAATGACGCTGAACAGCCTGGTGATTGTAGATCTAGGCCCCATAAGATTCTCCGAAGGATCTTCACAAGTGTCTTTACCTGAAGTTCTCATTTTAAATCCATCCACCTGCCTGGGCTAAGGAGGAAAGTGAGGATTCCACATGAAAAAGGGAGAAATGCAGGACCACTCTGCAGGTCAGCTAGAGCCTAGGTGAAGTCGCAGGCTGCCCTGCTTGTAGAAAGGGATGACCTGTGCAGGGAGGAGGGCCCTGGGACCCCACTGTCAGCTCTGCAGGGCCCTTGATCCCACCCATTCAGAGTGCCATTTGCTCTTCACGTGTCTCCTGTAGACTGCAAAGTAGGACCTGAGAGTCCAACAACCTGCTCAGAAGGCTAGGGCTGGAGGGGTAGGGGGTTCCCAAATCATGAAGGTATGCTTGAGGTGGCAACAGGGTACAGGGGCAGGGCCACATATAGAGGGAGGGCCGTGGGGGGCAGCAGATACAGGTGGCTCTCTTATACCGGAAGACAAAGTCAGCACTGTTGATCTCCCTCCCACAGCCGCTGTTCTTCAAGATTCCTCCATTGCCCACCACAGCGCACTTCTTAAACTGGGATCGGTAGTAGGGCATGTCCTGAAAAGGCACAAGCAGGGTGTCAGAGCCAGCATCACCTCACCTTCATCTGAGGCTTCACCTCTGCAACCAAATCCTACTCTATAAGCTTTGCCTCACCACGTAGTTTTGTCCAGAATGTGGGCAAAAAGTGAATTCAATTTATAGATGAGGGGAGCAATGAAGAGACTTGCTAATATTAAAGGACCTGTCCTCCCATCTTTGACAGGAGCCCAGAGGGCTGCTTGTCCCCAGCACCCACCAGCAGGCCAGCTGCTGGGGGCCCCACAGAGAACAGCAAGAATTAGGCTCAACTAGAGGCATCCCTGTAAAACACCCCATATCCAAGACCCACTTCCCTGTGAGAACAGGTTCAGGGGCCAAGACTGGGAGAGCACAGGGGTCTCATAGCCAGTAGGGGGAGCTGCACCACTTGACTTCTAACAGACAAAAACCCAGTCTTCTTACGAAGTCATCAGAGGCCTACTAAGCTTTCCATGAGTGTGTCCCAAACTTTAGCGAATGAAGAACTATCTGAAAACAGCCATTTCTAGGTTCCATCTAAGAACCATGGAATCAGAATCTCTGGGTGGGGTAGCAGGTCCAAGAAGCTGAGCCTTTAAAACCCCAGACAAATCTCTATGTTAAGTGAAACCAGAGAAATGCCATCCTTTCACATACCACATGCTGATTCAGGGGCAGGGAAATCAAGACCCTAGGCCTCATCTGGTCTAACACCTGTTTTTGTATAGTCAGCAAGCTGAGAATAACATTTATATTTTTAAATGGTTGGAAGACACTTAAAGAAGACATGTGGCATGTGAAACTTACATAAAATTCCAATTTCTGTGTTACTGGGATGTAGCCTACTTCATGAGTTAACACATACCCATGGCTACTTTCATGCTGGGATGATTGTGGTGAGCAGTTATGATGGTGATGATGTGAACTGCAAAGCTATACACTACCTGGTTTTTTGCAGACCCTGCTGTGTCTCCTGACCTCCATGGTCCATACCCAGGCTCTCTGAGGACCTGAAAGCCAGCCCAGGCTGGGTTACACAGATGTAAGTTATCTGTTATCTGCCTCGCATTCTTGGCCTCATAAGACCTTGTGAAGGTGGCTCAAGGCCTATCCTTTCCAGCGCTGGAATGTACTTTCAGCTCATTCCTGGAGGCCCTAGAACCCAAAGTCTTACCATAGTGCTCTGGTAGCAGCAATAAAACATAGGGATACTCTGGTTTTATCTCCAAAATGCAAGACAGCATAGAGCTATCCTTCCAAGATGCGGTTATGAAGACACTCCTTGCCACCTGCCTATTTGAAGAAGCCACACCACCTGACTACCACAAAACTGTCAGAACCAGCCAAAAATGCAGCTTCTGGAGAATGTGCTCCAGAAGTTGGGAGCCAAAGTCTGTGCCAGTGGTCAGCCCAAGTGAGCCTTAGTGGCCTGAGTGGGTCATGTATGTAGAACCCTCACTCTGAAACCCATGGGCAGGGATCTACCATGCTACCACTGACCAGCCCATCTCCAAACTTTCTTACGTGAAAGGAAAACACAATCTCTTGTTTACTTCTTTGATATTGTAGATGCCGTGGTATGAGCAGCCAAACTTATGATTGCTTTAAAGCCGGGTGTTGCAGACAAAGAAACCAAGGCCTTTAAAGGGCAAATGTCCGTCTAAGTGCTTCACTACCAACTGATCAGGCAATATGTGTCCACTGAGGCAACAGTGGAAAGTCAGTTATGAGGATAACCAGCCACTTTCCGACTAGAATTGAGGCCCACTCCACAGGAGATAATTCACATCTAATAATCCTGGTCAAAAGCCTATTTCTGGGAAGGTCATAGGCTCCAGTGAAGAAGCTTACAGCTGTTATTATGCTAAATAGACATGATGTGCCCGTCAAATCGCCTTCTAAATAATTATATTTATCCCCCCAAATTAATGCTGCTGTCAGTTTTGGTCAGAGAAACTTCTTTTTTGCTGTGGCAGCAGAAACTGCAGGGACTCCTAACTGGTCAAAATGCTGAGAATAAGTGACTGCTGAATGCTCAGTCATAAATGGGACATCTATATCATCTGCTCCAAGGTTCAGGGAACATTGTAGAAGACAGGGCAGAAAAAAATGTGAGAGCTGGGGAAAGGGGCAGCATGTTGTGGAGTATTGTGTTCTGGGTATCTGGGCGAGATATGATGGTAGCATTCTTGAATTCTCAGCAGTTGTGATTACTACACAGGACCAGCACAAGACTGGGACAGTCAACATCCTGTTATTGAGTGGGGAGGGACTTATGGGATCCCACTTCTCCCTGAGTCTTTATAGGTAGCTAAAGATAGTTAGTAGGGAGCGGTTCATGAGCCCTCCCTCCTTGCCTGAGGATCTATGGCAATTAATAGTTTCCAGAGGAGGAAGAGACATTTTCTTCAGTGGTGTAGCCACTGGGAAGTTGCCCATGCTCCTGTAAGCAACCGTAATGAAACTCATTTGGTCAGTGAAAATAAAAGGTTAGAGAGGACTAGTTGGGAAGAGGAAGGGGATCAAAAGGAGTGAGAGGGAGATGAAAGAGAGTAATAGGGGTGAATATATCAAAATACATCATACATATATGAAAATACAATAAAACCAATTATGTATAACTAATATATAATAATAAAAAACATACAAAAACAACCACCAAGGTCATCTAATGTGGCTGATTCTCTCAGGCCTGGCTCTGCCTTGGGCCTGCTTTCTGGTGCCTTATACGCTTTGGATGTGATTTTTTTCTTATGCCTGCCTCGAATGAGAGACATTGTGCAATGACTATCCTAGACAGCTGTAGGTTGTCTTTGGCAAGCAATGCCAGAGGCAGAGTTTTAACCTCTTTCTTGACCAAAATCACACAAACCATAGCCAGGTGGCATTTATCAATCCCTCAGAAAACTCAGTGGATGAGTTACTAGGCTACAGACAACTGGCTGGACAAGGCCAAAGCACCAGTGTGCTGAGTGCAAAGTGTATCATACAAATTCGGGGTGTTGCCACAGAAGCCACCCACTCCCACCCAGACCATTGTGGTGGGGGAGGGCATCGAACCTTGGGGAACATGTGGAAGATCTCCCGGTTGATGTGGTAGATGCCACTAGACTCCACCTCATACTTGAGATTCGTCCCTAACGGGGTATTCTTCTGGGTGGTGAAGAGGAAGTCAGGGGCATTGCAGCATCTGGACAAGGTGGACCTGCCAAGAATGAAGACAGAGGTAACAGCAGGCAGAGCACAGAGAAGTCATGGAACTGGACCTCTCCATCCCCATCCCATTCCCACACTCACCCCTACCCCTTCAGCATCCTCTTGGTACCTGGGCCTCACTGCCTCTCTAGGGCCCCGGCTAGGTTCCCACTGGAAAGCCCTGGCTGCCACAACTCCATGATGGTCCTTGTCTTTGAAGATTGACACAGACAGAACGACACACTTCATCCTCTGCCCTCTTAGGCTAGAAGGAAAGCCTGATGTCAGAGCCTGCACCTCTCCAAACCCCACACAGTACTCAGCATATGCATGTTCAACCACCTTGTGCCAGCCAAGCAGGGATTGACAGAAGCCCGCTCAGCTGTAGCAGGACCTCCTAGATTTCTACTGCCCCCTGGGGATGCTCTTCCCACCTCACTCATCCAGTGACCTGAAGCCAGAGCCCTCCTTAGGATCTTGTCTCCCACAGCCAACTCTCCCTTGTCTCACAAAACCAAGGCCCACACGTTCACAAAAAGTGCCACTGCAGACATTCAGAAACTGACTTAGGATGAGGGCAGGGCCAGACATGGGCTCGTACCAGCTGCCTTCCTGTAGAACCTGACCCCGAAAGAAGTTTTAGGAGTTCATTATTTAAAAAAAAAAGCCTAAAGTTTTCATCTCAGAAACATTCAAAACCAAGCTACAGAAGGGTTAAAGTTCAAGCACCTTAAAAAGAAAAACAAAACAAAAGCCTGAGGAAAATTGGACGAGCTACCGAGGTGGTCTGGTTCTCTCTCTACTCTGAGGCACACCCAGGAAGCTCTTGAGAGGGTCAGATCCTGGGCACATCTTACCCCCTGGGAACTTAATGCCCTAGCTTTAAAGGGCACTGGCTGTGAACATGGGCACAGATCACTGCCTCCTTAGTTTGGACTTCAGCACATACAGCTCCAGGCCCAGTACCCTCCAGGGTGCAGGCAGTCCTGGAGGATGGATGGCCTTTTGCAGTCTGTGATGATGGCAGGCAGGCCCAGGGGGAGGTTCTGTGTGCACCCACCAGCTCTGGGATGGAAACTGGGGTTGGCAGCTAGCATCAAGAATCTTAGACTCGAGTTTCTGTTCTGCACCCTGCAGCTGTGGGCCACAGACAGGTTTCCTTCCTCATGTGTAAAATGTAGCATTGGTTCTTCCACTTCTGACCCTCAGTGGTTCTCCAACTTGCTAAAGCTGGAAAGCTACATATACGATTTTTCATGATTTCATGACTTGCTTAGTCACTGGGGAACCCAGCTGGCTGGGAGTCACAGAGACGTCTTTCTGTGGAGAACTGAGTTTTAGAACATAACTAAGTCTTCCAGAAGGGAGGCTGAAGCCTGGCAAGTGAGGGGCCACATGTCAGCATTACAAACCAATATCTGTCCCTTGTAGCTTCGTTGGTGGGAAGACTTAGTCTTATCAGCCCACTAGAGAATACTACTCTACATACAGATCAAGCTTACAAGTATCTGATGTATAAACCAGAATTCCAAATGTCTATTTGAAGACAGCAGGATGAGGAAAGCCTCTGCTACAGGGTTCCTTTCCTGTAACTGAAATGCTCATGTCTTACTCCTGCACTCCACCAGGTTCCCACTCATGAGATGGAGAAGCTTGCCACTTGCCAGAAGCTTGAAGTGAGAGTGAAGGGAGGCAACTGATGGCCCCAAAGGGCTTTCCATTCAAGCCACAGCTAGGCCTGATGTCACCTTCCTTCCTCACACCTGAATCCACTCTACATCTGTTTACCCAACATCTGCTCCCCACGGACTCTCCTCATAGGACTCTCTGCTCCCCACAACCTCTCCTCACAGGGTTCCCTGATCCCCACAGCCTCCAGGACTCTCTGTTTCCCATAGCCTCACCCCACAGGGCTCTCTGCTCCCCACAGCCTCTCCTCACAGGGCTCTCTGCTCCCCACAGCCTCTCCTCACAGGGCTCTGCTCCCCACAGCCTCTCCTCACAGGGCTCTCTGCTCCCCACAGCCTCTCCTCACAGGGCTCTCTGCTCCCCACAGACTCACCCCACAGGGCTCTCTGCTCTGTCTCAGGCTCTCATATGGAACTCCTTGTTTCTCTTGCTGCATCATTTTTCTGATACTTCAATGTTTCCTTAGATGGGAGTCCCACCTATGAGATCCATGTTCTGTCTCAGCCTGGCAAACATCTTTGCACACTTCACTGCTCATTCTGTCTATACTGCTTAATCAAGCCCCATGTGCTCAAGCCTCCTTCATCCCAGGGATGTCTAGAGGTATACCCACATAGTCATACTCTTGAGAGACAGTTCTACATGTTCTATCACTTTGCCCAGGCCCACTTGAGCTTTCATGGCAGGTGGGTCCCCTCCAACTACCCTAGGCCTGAGCTGGGATTCTGTCACCTCATAGACCCTCTGAGTCCTGTGGATTAGAGTTCATTATATAAAAGTTATATTTCTAAAAATGCCACTTCAGGCTATCACCATACACCTGCAATCCCAGCACTTGAGAGATGGAGTCTAGATTATGAAATTGGAGGCCATTACACAATTCCTTAGTGTTAGTTCTGCCTGCCCTGGAAAGACCACCACAGGCTACCAGGAGGTCAGTGATGGACTCCGGAGCTCACCATTGATGAAAAAGCATTTTTGAATGCCTCCCATCTGCTTGGCTCCCACAGGAGAGCCTGAGGATATAGCTACTGCCTCTTTCAGAGCTTCTGATCTGTTAATTGTGGTTGAAGAGCAATCAGTAAATCAACAACTAGGCTCAGACATTAGGCAGAAGCTGTCAGAACACAGGGGCTCCAAGAAGGTAAGTTAGAGCTACTGCCCCAGGACAAGGAGGTGGGGACAGTGAGACTGTGGGATCTGTTGGGGGGACCTCAAGCAAATACCTCCCTGCTAGGAATCTCAGTGAAACCAGCCTGTGCTGAAAGTAGAAGACCCAACCTTGTAGGGCTATGGCAAGGACTGTGGTCAAGTATGTAGGACACCAACTGGCCACATGCTGGCCTTGCCACTGCCCAGATTCCTAAGCCCCTGAGGCCAGCTCTGCATAGATGCCCAATGACAGCCAGATGTTGCAGGATCATGGCTATCTAAAGAGATGGTAGTGGGGACCCACACCACAAGGAGAGAGGGGACAGATAAATGATGCATACTTGAACTGGTTGGCTTCAGAGATGTCCATTGCCCACTTGCATATCTGGAGGCTCCTCCACCTGTCGAACAGCTCAGACTGCTTCACCCTTAGGGAGCAGAGAACAGAGAACAGATGAGATAACCAGGCTGCACCATGTGTCACTATTTCCAAAGATGCTCCCTCCCTGCTCCCTGTATACCAAATCTGTGGCTGTGCTCTACTTGCTCTACTTTGTTACTTTCTTTATTCCTGATGTGATGGCTAATTCCTGAAGGTAGTACACAGAGGCCTGAGAGCTACCCTTCATGTAAAGGCTGAACAGAGCCATCCCTTAGGCAGCCATTGTCCCCTACCTGATCTTCCAAGGGCCAGACATGAGACCTGAGCCTTAGAGCCAGCCCAAATTATTCAAACTAACTAGTCCTAAGCCCACCTCCCCTGCTCACCCTGCCTTGCCCCTGCCTCCTCACAAAACATACAACAAAGGACTTACCAAGTTTGCCCCTCATTCCTGCCTCCAGGTGGACCTGGCACCCTGGCCCCCCAACACTCCCACCTTCCACCTCTATGGCTCTTCAAAGTGTGGCATGCTTCCATGACTCTGTGAGTATAAAATCTCCACATATCCAGGTATGGAAGCACATACCTATAATCCCAGTACTCAGGAGACAGAGGCAGGAAAACTATACATTCAAAGCCAGCCTGAGCTACATAGTGAGTTTGAGGCCAGCCTGGACTACAGAGAGGAACCCTGTTTCTATAAATAACAACAACAACAAAAAATTCTTACTCTTGTCAATTATACCACATCTACATATCTTAAGCACTCCCACCTCAAACAAGTCAGCCTTCCCCAAGGGACTACCTTCAAAGGCCAATACCTCTCAGGAATCACCATCTTTAAAGGGAATAAGACAAGACCACTTCCCTATCAGAACATCTGCCTAACCCTTGCACTCCACACAGCACAAACTGGCCAATAAGAGATCCTTATGTGACAGGACTTGGAGGCTGCTTCTGTTGAGAAATGTTCTCTTCACTTGGGTCTGCAGCCAAAAGCTTGGCATCTCTGCTTTTTGCATGTCTCTTTCACCTTGAAACTTTGGGTGAGGGTCCTGCTTATCCCTGCACATAGGCTAATCATGTGAGAGATGCCAATCTCAAAGCTGGTAATTAGAGGTTGACTTGCACTAAATTTATGTAACGTGTCTCATCTCCCTTCAAGGCAGAAGACACCAAGATAAGAATAACTAAGGTATTTTAAACACTTTAAAGAACATTGAACTGTTGTCAGCTCTCTCTCTCTCTCTCTCTCTCTCTCTCTCTCTCTGTGTGTGTGTGTGTGTGTGTGTGTGTGTGTAAGAGCGAGGGCCTCTCTCACTAGCCTTGAATGTCCTGATTAAGTTAGGCTGTCTATTAAGGGAGCCCCTGGGATCTGCCTGTCCCTGTCTCCCTAGCACTGGAATTAGAAGCATGCACCACCATTCCCAGCTTTTTTGCATGGGTGCTGGGGATCAAACTCAGGTCCTTGTGCTTGCAAGGCAGGCACTTTACTAAGCCATCTTCTCAACCCTTGACAAAGTCCTGCCTCAGACTCCTTTGAGACAATATCAGTAGTTTCTAGCTACTGCCTTAAAGCTACAATCACCTTTGATTTCAGAAACGGCAAAATCTTGGAGACAAATCACCCCAGAAAGGGATCTGGGGCTGTCTCACTGAACAGGAGCAGTATTCTCATAGACATCAGGTTGTTCCCTCAAGCGATGACAAGCAAAACCAGAACTGAGGTAATGATCAACCAGCTTCAGGATTGACAGATACTACTTGATCATACAAACCTCTCACCCCACCCCAGCTTTTCCTCTGTTTAAAGCTGAAACTCATGTCAGTGCTCTGAAGATAAGCTGAGATGCTGTCTTCCTCCAACTTCCCAGCATAGATAGCTTGGACCATATTGATTAAACTCCCTTCCTGCCTTTTTACCATTACTTTTATGTTTGATTTCTGGAGCAAGTGGTTGGACCCAATCTGTTGAGACCCCCCACAGTCAGGCCTGTATCCTAGGAGTCCAGCGCCACTTGTATGTATGAGCCCCAGTAATTACCACCTCCTTTCTCACCGTTTTCTCTTCTTTTTAGACTCTGTGTAGCCTTGAAGACCACACGCCACACACCACACCAAGCCCTCCGTCCCACCCATGTGCCTCAGCATCCCTATCACCTTCTCCTTTACTTAGTTATTTCTTCAAAAGTTCCCAGGTTCCACACAGGCTATGACACCAGAGACAAGTAACCTCTGAGCTTCAGTGACTTCATCTGTCAAGTGGGCTGTCCTAACCCTTGTCATTTCCTAAGAGGTTCTTCTTACTATTTATCACATGGTAAGCACTTTCTACATTGCCCTAAAAGGAATGTAAAAAGCCTCTTGGGAGTGGAGAAGGGGAGGGGACAAACAAGAGAAAAATCTGTTCAAGGAGATGTTTCCCAAAGTGTGTCCCATGGAATTCTAAAGTAGTGTGTCATATGAGACTACTATAAAAATGGCACTTCCATATGGTTTAAGCCAAGTAAAAATGTTTTTAATTTCAAATTTTTAATTATGCATGTTGTGTGCGTGCGTGCGTGCGTGCATGCGTGCGTGTGTGTGTGCGTGTGTGTGTGTGTGTGTGTGTGATGGGGCAGGGGTATATGAGTGCAGCTGAGCACAGAGGTCAGAAAAGGGCATCAGATCCCCTGCAGCTGACGTTACAGGCACTTGTGAGCCATGATGTGGGTGCTGGGAACCAAACCCAGGTCCTCTACAAGAGCAACAAGTGCTCTTAATTGCTGAGCAATCTCTCCAGTCCCTTAAAATATTTTAAAACACAAATATATTTATGGTCAAATGCATTTGGGTTCTGAGTTGAAGGTCAATACTTCTCTTAACTATGAGACTTCTTAGATTCTTTAATATGTTCTCATATGTTCTGACTTTCCAGGGAAGGATTATCACATATATATCACTTCCCAGAAGTACTGGATTGTGGAAACCTTATTTCCATAGAGCAGTTGATAAGCCTGGAATCCCACAAACCCTGGAAATACAGGACAGAGAGTACATTCCTCATAGGCAGGACCAGGACCTGATCTCTCTTGATCAAGAACAGTCCTCAGCCAAGGGCCAGGCACTCTAGGTCCAGGGCTCTGGAGCAAAGGGGACCCCTTAATGGAGACCATTCCTTTCTGACCATGAATGGGAAGTGATCAGACCACAGGAGCAGAGGGTTCCCAAGAGATTACCATGACTGGTAGTTACCAGAGGTCTGCAGAGGGGCTTCAAGGAGTCCATGAACTCCCTGAGTTACAGACAGAACTCCCTGTCCATCTACCCTTGTGAATGTTTCAGGGAGTATTCAAAACTTCCAGCTTCCCAGTGGGATCAGTGAATCCAAGAAAGGTACCAAACTACTTAATGATTGTCAAACACAAACAAAAAACCAGGTTCATTTTATAGAGGTACATCCCTTTGTTTAATAGGAACTGGCAGCAGTTGTCCCCAAACAGGGCCAATGTCACCCATAGGGAGGACACATGGCTAGTGAAGGGAGGGGTGACTTCAGGAAAAAAAATCAAAGTGGTTAGTGACCAAGTATGTGGATTCTTGGAATCAAAGGAACTTGATCTAAGACCCAGTTCAGACACCTTCTCATCACCAGATGCTGGACCAGGTATTTAACCTTTTTCAGACCTCACTCTTCTCATCTATGAAATGAGCCTCACAGACTTTAAAAGTTATTACTTCAAGGCCAGCCTGGTCTACATAGTGAGTTCCAGGACAGCTGGGGCTACAGGGAGACACTGTCTCAAAAAGACCAAAAAAAAATTATTAAATAAGATGATATAGAAATTACCTCGGCAGGTATATGACACACAGGAAGTGCGTGTAGGTCTTGTTGGTGTTGAACTGAGCTGCTTTGACTAGGCTCTCTCCCAGTCCCTATGCTTTTTCCCTTTTGTAAAGCCCACACTTTCTCATTCCCCACTCCTCGTCTTTCCTCTCAACCTGAGCTCCTCACTGACTCCAGTGCTGGGGTGCACATGAGATGCCCGGAAGGAATTTTCTGAGTAGAACAACAGGTTAATGAGTTCATGGATGAGCCTATTCAAGCTAAGTCTATTTCTTAAACACCTTTACATGACCAGAAATGGAAATACAGTAGTGAACAAAGCTCCCTGTTTGCATGGAGATTCCAGAGCAGTGGGAGGCAAGTAGGGAACAAATATAGAATGCCTTGTCTGAAAGTGGTAAGTGCTCTGGAGAAAAGTAAAGTAGGGTAAAGGTAAAGGAAAGTGACTGCTTCACACAGTGGATCAGGAAGGACTTCTTAGGAATGGAAACCTTGAAAAAAAAGTCTTGAAATAATGCAGGTATGAGGCGCAAGAACATCTGGGAACCGTGTAGCCAAGTCAGAGCAAAGAGTGAGTGCAAAGAAGCTGGAACAGGAGTCTGTTTGGTAGTTAAAGAGCTGAAAGGATGGAAGCTTCTTTGTGACTTTCCCAAACCTCTACAGCAACTCTCCCTCCCCCCACCGTACCCCATAGGCTTACAGGGCATCAGAAGATAGGTGGCCTCGGACAGTGGCACCCTGGCTTACCTATTGCTCCTCTTCTGCCCACCTCCCTGCAACCCATAGTCCCTTAGAGCTGCACCCTACAAGGCTTCTAACTCAAACACCTCATAGAAACACAGCACTGCCTATGCTCTAGGTCAGGGGCCCAAGTTTGATCCTAACCAATAACCAGGCCCTATTCTCAGTGTCTCCCATGCCCTTGTGACACTCTGGACTAAGGTCAGGGCTAGACACTCAGCTTTGAATCCTGGCTCCATTTTCAATGTACTATGTAACCTGGGCAAGTCATTTAATCTCTCGGAAGATTTGGCTGTTTTATCTGTGGGATGGACATCACAGCCGGGCCCTGTCCATCTCAACAGTTGTTAGAGAGATCAAATGAAGTCATATCTGTAAAATTATGTTATAGGTTGTTTTACAAACACAGTCCATCCTCACCTTAAAAAGGAAGGGCTGACCCCTGACCACCTCTCCTTTCTCTCAAGGCATCACCAACA